TAATTGAATAAACTAAGACCATAAATAATAAATTAAAATATTCACTATATACATTAAGGAATATATGTTGTCTTTCAGCATACAAGTTCTATAAATAAGATCAGTAGTGCAGTGTAATGAAAACTCCACTGTAAAGATTTTCTTTCTAGATATGGTAGTACTAGGAACTACCATCCATGCTTGACAATATATGAAGTAAGTAATAACAGTACAATAATTTCTGTGACAACAATGAGGAAATAGTTGATGGACTACTTGGTATTTTTCACCAGTGTTTTGGTAGACTGATTTACTTTCAGATATGATTTACATTTGTATAAATGCACATGTATATGAATATTTGTGTTTATGTTTCTATTTAACCTTGTTTCTCCTCAGAGACCTGGAACGCGTGACCGATGAGTGCTAGAAACAGAGCACCTCTGGATTTGGACAGCCTTCTCCCACAGACACGAGGGACCTGCAGACCTTTCAGTGGGAGGAAACCCCCAGTCATGGGTATGGCTACACAGAGAGCTCACAGCTCCTATTTCTAGACGAGCAAGTAAGACGGGTCAGGATTCACCCTTTGGGACTAGGAGCAAGTGCCACGGCACAGTTCACACCCATATGGTTAAACTCCTTTTACCTCCTGAATCAGCTCACCTCATCCATACTGCTCACTGGTCCATGCCATCCCCAAATTGCTCCTAGATCATGTCTAAGAAAGTACCAGCTGGCACTAGCCAGTGCCATGCCAGAAAGTGCAGTGTGTGAAAGAACAAATATCAATGGCAAAAGTAATTTGTTTTATGGTGTCTTTCCAACTGAATGTTTCACTTTTTAGCCTTTGTTTTTATACATGCCTAGTAGTACATTGATCTGAACATAGCTATCAGTTCCAAATCTACTATACATATTAAAAAATAGAAAATTATTCAGGATAAACACAACAGACAAATAACAAGCCTGATAAAAAACTGAAGAGAATTCTGTTGGGTCTGGGGTCACAATCATTTGTTCTACCTCATGGAGTTTTTTAAAGCTGATTTCAAATTTTATATGCTGGGCATAACTTCCACATTTTGACACTAGGTTTTGGACCCTTAATTGATATTTGACCACCTGATCACTTCTTATTAAGTACCGAGAGGAACAGTTGTAAAAAGTCAGCATTTCTGAACATGTATGTCACTGATTCAGGTGTCTAAATAAAGATTTACATGCTAACTGATAAGCAACCATGTTCAACTGATTTGTCACTTATTTTTAATGTTGTAACACACTCATGAGCTGTATTTTACTCCCTGATTATGCACACACAGCACTTCACTTAAAAAGGCCTCAAACATATCTGGCACTATAATGTTCTTTGTTGAAGCTGTAGTCAACGGAGTGCAGCTGAATCCTGCAAAATGGATTTTCATTTGCATATTTATAACAGACATTACATAAAAGGCTTTGTGATCTATAGTTCAGAATCTGTGAGTACCAGAGGCCTCCTAAGCGTAATCTGTCAGTAAAAAAAAACAACTAAACACCAAGGATCATTGTGGCCTTGCACACAGTGTTTGAGGAGAAAAAATACAGAGTTGCTTAGAGAGCTGATCCCATTAAAAAAAAAAAAAATCATCACATTCTTTGTAGTGGCTTTGCACACGATGCTTATTGTGTCTTCCTGGATGACAAATTTCCTGTTACAGAAATAATATCATTCTATGTGCTATCACCAACAAGCTCTAATTTAATTGCACTGATGCAAATGCTGGAAATTCAACAACACCTCAGAGATTTTTTGTGCTTATGCACAGATGCATGCACACAAATTTCCTTTTGTTGTCTTTCATTTAAATCAGTATTTGCAAACTACTATATGCCAGCTGTGTATTTTAGTTCACGCTAATGTCAAGTAGTAATCACCCTAGGAAAGGACTCCGCACTCACTAGCTCTGTTCTTAAAAGAAAGACACAAATAATTCTAGTAGAAATTGAATGGAATTGAATAGAATAGAATCTTCATAGAAACTGTAATGTTGACAATATTTTTTATGCAACCCAGAGGAAAGCATATGCTTACATTTTAGGATACACTTAAGCTCACTGCTTGACTGTATCCTTAAAGGGTAATGCTACAAAAGTTCCTAAAACAGTTAAAGACACTATTTACAATGCAGAAGTATTTAAATACTTTCCACCAACGGCAAGCTGATATACTGTGTTTATCTACTTTATTGGAGTATGATACATGTACTGACCACAACTGCCAGGTAATGGAAAATTAAACAGAAGAATACCCTTTTTCGTGTCTTCTCCTTTAAAAAGGGACGTATAACTGTGTAGAGGGCATGGATATACCACGGCTGATTGACGAAATGGATTCCTCCAAACCGAGCTGGAAAACTGTCCTGTATGTCACAAAACAAATACATACAGTGTGAGTTGACTCTTAACAGAAGTTGCATACACATCAAATATATATATTTTTTTTTAATGCTGAATGCTTTCATTTTAGTAATAAACCTTAAAAAAGAAGAAACATTTTTCAAAATTCTTTCCTCTCAGTTGAGTTCCAACCTTCCACACCAAGCAGCAACACACCTTGGGCAGAGCAGTGAGGAAGAGTGCTGAGACAGCTATGGTATTTGAATAAAGGCACAGCATTTCCAATCTCCTTTAAACATTTCCAATCTACTTTAAACATTTATGATTTGCCCATAATGCATCTATGAATTATATTTTTCTCTTTTCCACCTCTACAGATTTTATTCATTTTTAATAGTAACCATGTCAACTCTTCCAGTGTCACTGAAGAGCAATAGAAATGTCCCTCTTGTTTCCACCTTAAAAAGAAAGTGTAAATGTAAACTATTATTCAAAATGTCTCCAATATTATTCATATTTCAAAAAACTGAGAATGCATTAAACATTACGTATAAACTGTTATGCAATATCCATGACAGGAATTCTTGTCACATAGTCAGAGGCCTTCTGGGACCTTAAATGTAAGGATAGGTTATCTGTATTGAAGCAATGACTTTTCTTTTTTCTTACTGAAAAACACAAGGGGCAGACAACTCACTAAGGAAGACTCTTATCCGCATTTTCAATTTCTAAGTCAAGAGAATATGCCAGGGGTGTTGGTTGTTTGAAGAGGGCAGCCACTCTGTCCTGGAATGCTATTGTCAAATTCATCATGTGCCCTCATTTTGTCTTTGCCTGGTTGATCACACACTCAAACAGTGCAATAGGCTGCTGCCATCTCCTGTATTCCCTGGAGTTACTACACTGAGCAAAGAAGTAAGAGGTGTAAACAGATGTGTAAAGTGACACACGGCCCCTTTTGTTTTCACAGGTTATGTCAGAACCTTCTCCATGTTTAGCTATACAGACTTACTAATGGCTTTCATTGGAACCCTTATTCAGTGACCCAGGTGGGTCACTCTAGGTAACCATGGCGGTCACTTAGATCAAAACCAGGTTCCTCACAGCAGTAGCAACTCCCATTTGACTGGAGGACCTCTTCTACGAAGAAAGGCCGAGAGAGTTGGGCTTGTTCAGCCTAAAGGAGAGAAGGCTCCGGGGAGACCTTATTGCAGCCTTCCAGTACCTGAAGAGGCCTACAAGGAAGCTGGGAAGGACTTTTTACAAGGGTCTGTAGTGACAGGACAAGGGGTAATGGGTTTAAATTGAAAGCAGGGAGGTTTAGATTAGATATCAGGAAGAAATTCTTCACAGAGAGGGTGGTGAGGCACTGGAACAGGTTGCCCAAAGATGTTGTGGATGCCCCATCCCTGGAAGCGGGCAAGGCCAGGCTGGATGAGGCTTTGAGCAACCTGGTCTAGTGGAAGGTGTCCCTGCCCATGGCAGGGGGGTTGGAACTAGATGGTCTTTAAGGTCCCTTCCAACCCAAATCATTCTATGTTTCTGTGATTCTATGATTACAAGATTTGACAATACAGGTACAAACAAAGACATGCTTCCCAGCTATACCTCCTCCTCCTCCTGTGTGGATGCAGTAAGACAGCTTCAGGCTTGTGCCAGTGGGATCACAGGCTCAAAGGAGGCAATCGAAACATTAGATGGGGCACTCTGTGCAAACAGACACATTTGCCTCCTCTGAAGAGAAGACAGCAGGCCATATAGAAGCATCCAACAGTCTAGATATAATCCACAAAGCAGCATTTGAGGCATACTGATTTAAGGTCATACAGCACACAGTATAAAAATGGCCAAGAAAAAATCATAAGCTATATCAACCTATCAAGAACTGTCAGATAAAGAAGGCAGAAACTGTAAGAAGGAAATCTTTAATGAAATGTTTCCAGATAGGAATATACTTTGAAAAAGTGCATGTGCAAAGCAACCTTCTCAGCTCTCCAAGTGTGTACGGAGCTCTGGGAACAGTGAAGCCTGAAGAGGTCATTGGTCCTCCCAAAAATACCATTCAAATACTTGCAGGCACTCCTAACCCAGGAAGTCTTTACATGAGGGTGCCACCAAACTGCAACTACTTGGTGGATCACCAGATGAAATACTTTCCATCACGAAGGAATGGCCTTAACAGTATTCTACAGGGAGGATGACAGCGACAACACACACCACTAACATCTGGCTGGTCAATGCAATTAACAGTCTATTTTACAGATCTTGTCCAGGAACATTTGATTAATAACAGCCTTGACATAAACCAATCCTAATGAAAGACAATGCTACAGAAGCCTCATCTTGCTAAACGCCTGGTTCCTTTCAGCACTGACTAAATGTCAAACAGGATGGTTGATAATTTGACATGTAATGCACCCAGTTCAATAACATAAATCCCTAAACATCATTTTGAGAACACAACCTCTGATGTACAAAAGGTAGTAAATAATATCTTATCACAGCAATCCAACGAATCCATTTGGAAGTATAAATCATTGGATGACACCTTAACCTTCAGTTGCAGGAGACACCATTCATCTACAGAAGGTTGTGTTTATTTTGTTTATCATGGCTGCTGCTCCAACAAAGAAGTCCAGGGCAGCATGCTGTGTGCCATGCACAAAAGAGCATACACCAGAGCTGCAGAAGACATCATCTGCTAGTTTCACCTAGATGTCCTTGAAAATATCTTCAGAGTTAACATTGGAATGGTAACTGTGTTAAGCCTTGCTGGGGTCAAACACCTTTTATAATGTAGGCACTATGGAAGACAGCAAAGCAAACCAGCTGTTCCTGGCTGCATGCCTTCTTGCATAATTTTGTAAGCTTTTAAATGGACACAAGTGCCCCAAAACTTACACACACCAAGTTAAGAAATGTTTGTTCTTTATTGCTCAAAAGATGTCTCACACAGAAATTGAGGACAATTTGTGGATGAGAAGATCTCAGTAGGCAAATAGGTATTTGTACTCTACTGCGGGCTCAGAATGAATGGCTTGTCAATAGTTATTTATGAAGGTATTAAATGTCTAGAGGGTAAAAGACGTATCTTTACAAAGTATCTTTTTCTGCATTGTGGAATCCATTGACAGGGAGGGTCAGGAATACATGTGGAATGATTCTCAAATAGAGTATACCACTTAATATTAAAAGCCAATTTGTCTCAATGTTTTTCAGCATTACTAAAGGCATTTCCCAGAACTGACTAAAGTTGTTGTGTGCTTATCGATTTCTGTGACTGAACTGTGGTCCCCAAATTTAGGAGCACTTCATAAGTTGTAGTTAGGAACCCCCAAAATATGTGCCTGGAGAGAGAAAGGGTGATCTGGTAAGAATGATCCTGCCCTGTACACAGTTCTGGGGCTACAATTCAAAAGCTGCCGAACACAGATCCAAAACCCAACCTCAACAGCACCCGGTGAGAAAATAGAAAAGCGGAAGAAGCAACTACAGCTGCTGGAGAAACAGGTGTCAGAAGGTCATCTGGCTCTTTTCAGATGCATCTGACTTCCTCATGGGGATTTGCCAGACAGATGGCCATCCTACATAAACAGCAGGTATGAATTTCTTCCAAATCACTGATTCTTGTTGGTTTTTACATAGATTAAGTCAGAAGCATGGTGGCAGTCGCAACTGTCTCTGTAGACATATTGCACTTCAACAGAAAAGCCTGTAACCCATGACTCATACAAATTCTAAGTAAAAGGAATCCCATGCCAGAAAACAGTAAGAAATGGAGATCAGCCATGAAGTAAGCTGTGCATTTGACTGGAAAAGTAATAAATCTGATAGAGTATTACTAAACCACCAAAAAGAGCTAATTATATACACAGCATGTGGATTTTTTTTAGCGTTCACAATAACCTCTGATTACGCAGCAGAACACAACCTAAGTGTGCCTCCAATGAACAGAGTCTGGGACATGGCCACTCCACAGACGCAGGCAAGCAGGGAGTTACTATTAGGGTCCGCAGTCCTGTGATAGGAGGCTTACAAGTGACAATTAAAAGTGGGCTGCCAAGGAAAGAGGCAGACCCCTATGCTACTGTCTGCAGGACAGGGTGACCACCAGTGCACGGCAGTAACTGATCTCTCCTCCAAGATCTATAAACCAGTGCTGAGGAATAACCCCAGGCAAACTGCCTCACTGGGTTTCTGTCTCCAATAGCGTGGGTTTGCCTACTCACAGCACATCAGTTTTACCTCTCTGCTGTGCATAATTTACACAACCTGTCTCCACAGGCTTCCCTTCCAAGGACCCAGCTGCTGTTGCCTGCTACCACCCTCAGCGAATGCTAGAAAGCCAGGTTTCTACTCTTTGGGCACCACTTCCCACCTTGTGCTGGGCTCGACCCTCACCTCTCAGGGTTTCATAGGGGGTCCTCCTCTCCACTGTGACCAGCAGCAACTCTTACAGCACATGTAATGACTGCAAAACCAGTATATGACATTTTCAACAGTACCAAAGAGACAAAAGTGCCAAATTCTTACTGAAAATCATTGTGAGTCTTCTTAGTGATGTCAGAACTATTTTCACAGAGGTAATAAATACAACCCACCTTGTTTACCATTACCAAATGCGAAAAATTACAGAACTTAAAGCCCACTATATTCTCCCCTCCTTGTCATGTCTGCATTTAAACCTCTGAGTCTACTTTTAAAGAATTAGCTCCCCAGCTGAGATCAATACTGAAGTCAACTGTGTTTGCACAGCTTTTATAAGTTGTCTTAGAAACTGCTGGGATCGCTGCATGCCCACAGACGCACTGGCAGCCCAGCTACATCAGGGCCTGCACACCGCCTGAGAATGTCCCATCTGGACACACCTTGCCACATCCTAACACTGTCAGAGTGCTTGGGCACATAAGCTCTGGGGTCACATTTAAGGTTCTGCGGTCCTTATGGGCAGTGAAGCTTGGGGTTGTGGACAATCTAAAGGGACCCTTCAAAGGACTCTCTAGGCAAATATAATGAACACAAC